CCTGCCCCTGCAGGAAGGAGACAGGTGAGATGGGGTAGGCTGAGGCCCATGCGGGCAGCGCGGACCTCCCCTGGTACCGCACGGGGACTCACTCTCTCTCCGGTGACCGCACGGCGAGGTGGAAGGGAAGCTCGCTCAGAGCAGTCAGCGCTGTCTGAGCAGTTTCCTCCGGGAAAGGGTTTGTTTGTGTGAATAGCTGACCTTCGATGTCTGTACATGGAGCGTCTGTGAAATCAGCAAATTAAAAGGCCGTGTGGTGATGAAAGAGGTGTCACCAGTGAAGATGGTGAGGACATCCGTGCCTCCGTGTTGCCCTCAGCAGAGAAGAACCCGGTGGGCAGCCCCATTAGGAAACAGCTGCCCTCCCAGGTGCCCCAGGCACTGCTCTGTGGAAGGGGAAAGTGTGACCGGCTCGGCCACAGCGCCCCCTGGCTGGGAAAATGTTACCACTGCTTCCAGCTGGATTGCCATAAGGGAACGGAAAGGTTTAGTGGGTTGTCGTATTGTTTTTGAATTCTAGACAACACACCCTTTTGCCTGCACCCGAGCAGATGCTCGCTCTCCCTCCCCCACCACCTGGGGGCGCTGCAGGGAATGCGCTGGGCCTCTCGGGGGCTTCCTGTTCGCATTGCTTATTTCTGTGTGTGTCAGGGCTCCCTCGACGGGTTTAACAAGCCGCTCTCATCCTGCCAAATCGTGCCTCACAGACTTTGATTGCAGTCACCCGGGAACTCGTTTGAAATGCAGGTTCCGGTTCATCAGGTCGGGGGTGGGGTTCTGGCTCCCGGGCGGTGATCACCAATCCCAGGTTGTGCTTTGAGGAAAAGCCTTGTAGTCCGTGTCTGGCTACTTCCATGCATGCTGACCTTCTCCCCCTAATTATAGGAAATAGAATACATTTCTAGGATGGAGTTACAGGTATTGAATTTTTTTAATTGCTTTCTTCCCTGGCTCTTAGTTTTCCCGTCATAATTCCCACAGCATAATGCTTGGTAGGCTAAGCATGTTCGCGGTGGGCCTGCTCACTGCCTCCATGGTCCTGCCCTCCTGATGGTTTTTTTTTCCTTTCTTTCTTAAACTAGAGCACTGCTCCCCCTTCTTTCCACAGGATCACCTGGTTCTGCTTGCCTGTTGCCATAGAGACCACTCTAGCTTCTCTCTCCTCCCCTCCCCACGTTCCTACCCTTACCCTCCCACCAGATTTCTTAATGTGCTGTGCCATTCCGCCGTTGTCATGGGGACGGAGTGACCATTCATTTCATTGGCACCTCCAATAAAATGGCAGCTCAGAAATGCAAGCTAATGGGGCCCAACTTGAAGCATTGATTAGGAACGGCCAAGCAAACGCATGGTCTGGTGGTTTCAAATTGCCACCTCGCTAAGCCTCGCCACACAGACCCATCCCCATCTAGAAATCTGTTCGCTGGGCGGCAAGTCAGGCCTCTTAAATCGGTTCACGCCGAAGGGAGCCCACCGAAGCACTGTGAACTCCTTAGGTGGCACTGGGGAAACAGTCCTTCTCTTGCTTTTTGTATGCTCTGCGAGGCACTGAGAGGCGCTCCTGCACCTCACAGACACACCTGAATAGCAGGTGTAAACATTCAGAGCAGGTGGCTTTGTCCGAAGGGCTGTGGTTCTAACGCACTCCTCTTTCAGCATTCTTTGCTCTTGCTGCCCACAAATTCCTGGTGTCATGGGGTGTGATTGTGGAGAGAGAGAGAGAGAGAGAGAGAGAGAGAGAGAGAGAGAGAAAGAGAGAGAGAGGAGTGAAGGAACTCAAGCCCTGTAGCTGCTCAGCCATGTGCCCCGAAGCCCTGTCCTGAGCTCCTAAGGCCCCGCTCCAGCCACTCCCAGTGCCTAGCACATTTCTTGGCACATTGCAAATGGTCTATATTTATTAAGTGAACGAGAAGAAGGAAGCCCTCAAAGGGAAAAGAAATACACGCACGAATGATGTCTGAGAAAACCCTCTGCCTACCTGTTTTTAATTTTAGAAATAGGTGTTGCTAAGCACAGTGTGGTGTCGGCAAACATATTTAGGAAAGAAAAAAAAAGCACAAGGAGGGGTGAAATCAGAAATGAGACCTGGAAGAGACGTTAGCGGGTGGCACCGGATGTTTTGTCGATGAGGAGACTGAGGGGAGGAAGGGCGCAGAGCGTCCGAGGCCCCAGGCCCATGGCAGCAGACAGACAGCTGGAGCCCAGGTCTCCAGACACAGCAGAGTCCTCTGCACCAAGCCCTGCTGTCGGCAGCAAAAGCCAGAGCTCTGTGTGGACGGTGGGCCTGCTGACCTGCAGAAGGCCAGGGAGAATCCCGCTCAGCTCATCCGCTGCTGCACTCGGAAATCATCATTTCTCAAACCAGAGCGGCTTCCCAGAGATGCTCCAGAAGCCGCGGGAGACGCTGGGAGCTGCTGCCTGTGTGTGTGCACCGAGTCACCGGAAGGCAGATTACAGCCGGTGGGAGGCTCACATCACACAGAAAACAGAGCAGCTCAGGAAACAGGCCGCGACGCTGGAGGTGGGAGCCTGAATGGAGCCCCTCTAAATGCACACGTGAGGGGACAAACTGGAACCGATTAAAGGCGGTGGGAGGCCCCAGCGGGGCCCTTGAAGAACCCTCACCAGGTAGGAAAGCCAGCTGAAAACACGGCCCACGCGAGGCTGGAACGGAAGCCGTGGGGCCCACGTTCGATCCTCTGCTGCTCTCCCTGGTTCCTGGGTGGAGCAAGCCTGACTCGTGAATGACAGGGTCCTTTCTTGGTCTGTGGAGGATCAGGGCTGAGGAGAAACGCCGTGGGTTTGAACCCAGACAGACCTGGGGTTGAATGTTGATGTGGGTGAACTTGGGTGTGTTGTTTGGTAGCTCTGAGCCTGTTTCTTTTATAAAATAGGCCTAATTATAGCTGCCATTTTATCAAGGACATGAGAGGAGACAGCTCCTGCGAGCCTCCAGGTCAGTGCCTGGAAGGAGTCAGGGTTCAGGGACAGGTGGCTCAGCAGGTTTCAACATCAGCATGGGTGTTGAGGGACAGGAGTCTCAGGGGCCCTCATACATGGTCAGACATACAGATGGCCGACCGGGCATCTGGCCAACCAACTCACCCACAAGCCTCACCCACACCCAACACTGCTGGCCCCTGTCCTACAGAGCACCCTGGCTGGTCCTGGACACCTGTCCCTCCTCGGGGGCTGGTCCTGGACACCTGTTCCTCCTTGAGGGCTGGTCCTGGACACCTGTCCCTCAGTGGCTGGTCCTGGACGCCTGTCCCTCAGTGGCTGGTCCTGGATGCCTGTCCCTCAGTGGCTGGCCCTGGATGCCTGTCCCTCAGTGGCTGTCCTGGATATGACCAGCCAAGAAAACAGTCCTGACTCGGGGGCTGGTCCTGGACGCCTGTCCTTCCTCGGGGGCTGGTCACGGACACCTGGCTTGCTCGGTGGCTGCTGGAGGAGAGGCTGCCCACCCACCCGCAGGCCCCTCGTATAGAAACAGCTTCCCCCTCCCCTCTGACCCTTTGGAGGGTAGGCACTGGGGCTGACCTTGAGCCTTTCCCATCAGCTGGCCTCCTCAGATGGAAGTCAGTGGGGCAGGCGTGCTGAGATCTGCCCACCTCAACCCGTGGAGCAGGGCCTGGGCAGCAGCGCCTCCAGCCAAAGGGTGCAAACCCATGTCTTTTTCTCTGTGTACATGACTGGAAACAAGTTGGGAAATGCCTGCTGTCGGCCATTTGGTCTGGACCCTCCGGCAGGCGCTCGCTGGGCAGGGCAGGCGCTCGCTGGGCAGGGCAGGCGCTCACAGGGCAGAGCAGGTGGTCTCAAGATCTGGGAGGTGGACCTTGATTTTGGGGCTGCACTAGTTGTGTCTGGCGCCTCCTTTAAAGAGGAAGCTCACAGTTGGTGGTAGGACCTGGAGGAGCCAAAGTGCCCCCCACTGAGGTGACTTCCTGAGCAGGCCAGGTCATTGCCGGGCGTGGCCAGGGGACAGGAGTGTGGGCCTGAGCTCAGGGTAGCGGAGAGTGGGTGGATGAAGCTCTGTAACGGGCTCTGAAACCGGGCCAGGTCCCCTTTTTATCTTTAAAAACCACCCTCCCCTCTGCACTCCATCCTGACTTAGAGGGTGGGAGTGACAGCAAGATCCTGTAACCTGACAACCCCCAGCCTCCCTCTCCCCTCCCCATCTTCCCAGCAGCGCCCTGTTCCTTCTCCTGGGGAGGCCTGGGGAGAGCCCTGCCCGCCCTGCTTTCCCAGCGCCTGGGGGACCTTGATGAACTCTAACAGGCACAGGGGGTGGGGAAGCAGGAGCATTCAAGCCTGGCGCATCGGGCCAGCTGCTGGGATTGGATGTCCTTTGCTTGAGTGTGCCTTTCGGAGAGAAAGCGTTTCCCACTGTCTGCCTCCTGACCAGGGGACACACTGCCTCCCTCACCCTCCAAACCGAGAGCACACGAGGCAGCTTGCCTCCGCATTGCAGGACGACCCCTTTCTTCAGGTCTCTGAACAGCCCACCTCCCAGAGTGAACACAGCGCCCTGGTAGCTGGTCTCTGCACAGGACGCAAGGGCTCCATGTGAGGCAGGGGGTTTCTCCCGAGCAGTGGACGGCGGGAACCTGGGAGTCCACGGAGTGACAGACCCTCACTGGGGCTCCTTTGCCTCCGGGGCTGCCTCCTGCCTTCCTGCCTGCCTGCCTGCGTGGTCGCCACATCCACGGTGCTTTGCTCGTTTTCAGGGCCTGAAGAACCAGGCGCGGGTGAAGCTGAACATTGTGAGGTGCCCGCCGGTGACCACCGTGCTGATCCGGAGGCCGGACCTTCGCTACCAGCTGGGTTTCAGCGTCCAGAACGGAATTGTAAGTACAACTCCACGCCCTTTTCCAAAAGCCAGATGCAAACGTGACACAGTTTGATATTTTAATTTTTAAAGCGGGTCCGTTCCCTGAAAGAATCCAGCGAGGAAGGGGATGGATGGGTGAAGGCAGGCTCGGCTTCCTCTTTGGACGGAGATCTGTGCCTTTCAATGTGAGGAGAGGGAGGCCCTGCTCAGAGCCCCGGCCTCAGAGCCCAAGGCGTGGTGGCCTCCCAGCTGCTAACGCGAGGTAGCTTGGGACGTACCAGCTCGGGCTTCCTTCCCCTCTAGCCTTGGGCATTGCCCCCTGTCCCCACCCTTGGCTGCTGCTGTCCCCATGCCAGGGTGTGGAGCACTAGGGGCGGGGACACTTCAAAGCTGCCTGTGATTCCAGCTCACGGCTCAGGCTGGCGGCCCTGCCCCATGTGCAGGACTAGTCTCTGCTTATATATATGCAAATATTGATTTCAGAGAGGAAGGGGGAGAGAGAAACAGCGAGACAGAGCCCACAACCCGCGCATGTGCTGACCAGGAATCCAACTGTGACCTCTTAGTTCATAGGTCGACGCTCAACCACTGAGCCACACCAGCTGGGCTGTGCTTTGCCTTTTAACCTCAGTTGGCACTCTGGGAATACAGAGTATTTGTATCCCTTGGATGTCGACCTTAAAATACTTCCTTTCTCCTCGTGGTAAAACACACACCTTAAATTGACCACTTAAACAATTTTGAAGCATAAAATTCAAGGGCATGAAGTACCTTCAGCAAGTGATGTGGCCATCACCCTTTCTAGACCTTCCCTCCATCACAGACAGAAACTCCCCCACTCAGTACCCGCTCCTCTTGCCCAGCATGCCTTTCTGCTCTCATCCTCATTCTGGGCGGTCAAGCTGTCCTCTGGAACCTCTTGATTTTCATCCTCCCAGATTAAAACAAAATTAAATTCTTTTTTCCTCCTTACATTTCAGTTAAGAGTTATAGGTAGTCAAAATGTTTTTTCCAGTATGTTTTAAGGTTTGGAAATACCCATTTGAAGTTCCCCGTGGGAGGTGAGACACCCAGCCCACGTTACCTGTTATCTGACCTCTGGGCCTGTGCAGCGTTGTTTGCTTTTCGGAGAGGAGCTCAGTGACCCCTTATCGGTTCAGTCTGACATCCTGTTTCCATCCATTTGTATGCCCGTTTGCTTTGTTCCTGTTTGAATAATATGAAAAGTTCAAACAGGATCCAAAGGTTCTTTCTTAGTAGAGGTGGGTCTGTCAGGCCTCATTCTCATTGACGTGTGGTCTGCACCTAAGGAACTTCTGACCAAGGGTACCTGGGGGGCTGCAGGTCTCCACCTGCTCACAGAGCAGGAGGTGTGTTGTCGCAAGAGTCTCATCTGCGTAGGCTTTTATTATTTTTTAGAATATATTTTCTTGATTTCAGAGAAGAAGGGAGAGAGAGAGATAGAAACATCAATGATGAGAATCATTGATCAGCTGCCTCGTGCACACCCCCTACCGGGGATCGAGCCTGCAACCTGGGCATGTGCCCTTGACTGGACTCGAACCTGGGACCGCAGGCTGACACTCTATTCACTGAGCCAAACCAGCTAGGGCTGCGTAGGCTTTTAAATAGCAGCTCACAGTCTCAGTGAAAAGTCAAGTTTGTAAATTCAGAACATATCCTTCTGGGGAAATTCTGACTGTTTTGGGTGTGAGGTGGAGGTGGCTATCCCCTGCGGTGCCCAGCCCAGAACCCTCCAAATGAGGAAGTGCAGGCTCCCTTCCGCCAGGGGCAGCCTCTGCCCTCCTGGATACAGCCCCGCCGCTGTCATTTCTGGGAGAAGGGCGTTTGATCGGGGCACTGAGCTGGGAAGGCCGGAAGGAGCAGCTCCCCTCCAGCTGGCCGCACTCTGGAACATGGAGTGGGGTTCCAGCCCCAGTTTGGCTCATGTCACTGTGACCCTAAAAAGTGGCTGCTAGCATTATACGTTTTGGCATTTGAGCCCCTGGTGATTGTGGGAAATAAAACTCACCTGTTTATTTCCCAGGTTACACAGGCTTGTTTGAAAACATTGGCAGCTCAGTGACAGCCCCCAACAGCTCTTTTTACGGAGACTCGGCTGGGATGAAAAGTAGGCAGGATTCCGCGTGCGTGAAACCCAGTGCCATGCCACGTTCCCTGTGCCATGTGGACGAAGGAGCTGGCCACGTGGGCAGACAGAATCCTGTTTCCTGTGAAGAGCAACAAGGAGATTTAAATGCACAAAGCCTGCCTGTGGCAGCCTGTCGAGGGCGAGGAGCAGGGCCTCCAGAAAGGACAGGCTCTGTCCCCATCCAGCTCCCCGCCCTCGAGGGGTAACCTGGCCTTTGTCTCTGACAGATCTGCAGCCTCATGCGAGGGGGAATAGCCGAGAGGGGAGGCGTCCGCGTGGGGCACCGGATCATCGAGATCAACGGGCAGAGCGTGGTCGCCACCCCGCATGAGAAGATCGTCCACATCCTCTCCAACGCTGTGGGGGAGGTAGGCGTGGGGGCCAGGACTGGGGTCCTCTGACGCCTGGCGCCTCAGGCCAGCCCTGACCAAGCCTGAGCACTCAGCAGCCAGAGCAGTCTGTCTCAGACCAGATTGGAGAGTCAGTGATGAAAGAGGTCTGAGAGCATCTCCCTGAGACAAGATCAAGTCCCCTGGAGGGTGATGTGCTCTCTTTCTCTTTTTTTTTAAATTCAGTACAACATCATAATTGAATATCTGTATGCGTGACAAACTGATCACCCCGAAAAGTCTAGTCCCGTGGTCGGCAAACTGTGGCTCGCGAGCCACATGCGGCTCTTTGGCCCCTTGCATGTGGCTCTTCCTAAGCCTTAATAACAATGTACCTACCTCTATAGTTTAAGTTTAAAAAATTTGGCTCTTAAAAGAAATGTCGATCGTTGTACTGTTGATATTTGGCTCTGTTGACTAATGAGTTTGCCAACCGCTGGGCTAGTCCATTCGTCACCATGGGCTGACGCCTGCCCCTCTGGTAACCACCTCTGTCCGGATCTGTGATTGTTGGGACCTTGAGGGTAGAGAGCTAAGTGAAATGAGTCAAAAGGAGAGAGGCAAACAGCACTCAGTCTCCCTTCTATGTGCAATCTGAAAGGAAACGAAGCAAAACAAAACCACCGCAGCGCCCCCTATTGGCTCGGATTTGTGCAGCTTCTCTCCTCTCCTGGGCTGCCCAACTGTTTCTCCCCAGCGAACCTCAGCACAGGGGCCTGGGAGATTTAAGTCTTAGAGTCAAGGCTCCTGGGCCAGCAGGTCTCCAGCGGGGGGTCCCTGGTCCCTGGCAGGGGCTGGGCCGGGGTCAGAAGGGCTGTTCCCAACTCATTTCCTGCACCACCCAGCCGGCGGGAGGGCAGCGGCAGGAGCGGTCAGCACCCGCAGGCACTTACTTCCATTTTAAGAATTCTCTCCTTTTTCCACAAAGGCCCGATGAGAACAAAAGCACTTGGCTGGGAAATAAACCTGACCCGGTCTTCATGGCTATCCTGTCCCGCCTCCCCCTAGCTTTCTAGAAAGCCTGTGGAGGCAACTTTTCCTGGAGGCCGGTTCCTGCTAGCCGTGGGGTTGGGAGGAATCTTCACACCCTCCCGTGGTGGCAGGTACCGCTCTCCCCCAGCCCTGGGCCCCGGAGCCTCCGCCCCTACCAACATCTGCCTCTGCCCTCAGATTCACATGAAGACGATGCCGGCTGCCATGTACAGACTGCTGACGGCCCAGGAGCAGCCCGTGTACATCTGAGGCCGCGCCCACCGCCCGGCGCTTGCATGGAGGACTCTCCTCGCTCGTGGTTGTGTTTCTCGTGCTGCATCTGTGTGCCCACTGAGACTTCCCCTCGTGCCCAGCATTCGGTCTGCACAGGAAGGAAGGAATCCGTCAAGACTTTGCTCTCTGTCTCTCCTGTTTACTTTTGTTTTTTTAATACCAGGGAAGTTTGTATGCACTCCCCTGAGGATGGAGAGCAGCCAGTATCCACCTGGTACCTGCCCAGGACTGGACTGTCCTGAGGGCATGCGGGGCAGGCACCGCCCAAGGGGGAATGCTCCCTTCCCAGGAGGGGCCGGCCTCTTAGAGGAGCTCAGAGGACAGCAAGCTGCTGACTCAGCAGTGCCTACAAGCCCATCACTGATCTCTGCTCTCCTCCAGTAAGTGTGTGGGAATACGGGGGTGACAGACCAGCCCACCATGTACGTGGGGCACCATCCATTATTTCTGCCCAGAATTTCTGAGCCGACCTAAGGCTCCTTTTATAGCTCCAATTTCAACACAATTGTTTTCTAATAGGAGCCCCTCCCCCAAGGATGTCACCATGTGTTGGCAATTCCTGGGACATCATAGCTTCTGGGTTGTCTTGAGGTTACACACTATTAGATGAACGTGGGCAGGTGCTGCCTGCCTCCATCCATGTCACCCACCTGTATGGACACACAGTCTTACATATATATCACCCTTCCCTCCTCCCTTCCACCCAGGAGGCACACAGAGCCCCTGGAGAACCCCCATTACCTCTGTCTGAGCCCCCCTCCCCTGGCTGCTGAGACCCTGGGGCTGGTCAGCTCTGTCCTGGGAGAGATGCCCTGTGGCTCAGGCCCAGCCCTGCCAGCACCATCTGGGCTCAGTGTTCTGGTGGCCGCCCTTCCCCGCTCACACACACTCACACACAGGGAGCCTGGGAAGGCAGGACTGCTCACCTGGAAGACGGGGATGCAGGTGCGTTTGTGTGACATTTGCTCCTCTGCTCAGGGCCACTAGGCAGTATTCAACCTGTGAACAGCCAGGAGAGCACATAAACCACAGAGCTAAGGGGACAATCATGACCTCAAGCTATGCCCGAGTCCCCAGCGTGCTCCCGAAACTTCCCCTTGCTGCCTCGTGGGTCTGAGCGTTTAATCGGTGTGGAGTGTTACGTGTTTTTTTTAAATCAGGTGCCTCATGTGTATGAGTCCTGTCTCAGTTCGGTGAAAATATTTTAGTAATTTTATTCTGAGCCAGTTTTTACTTATTCTTTGGTCCAAAGAACATTTTGTTTTCATGTGGATGGGGTGTGGCTTGGTTTTTGTCGTGTTTTGTTCATGACCTCCGCAGAGACGGGGAAGAGAGAAACTGATATATTTTATAATATTAATACAGTCCCTGTTCTCTGCACGGGGGATATTTACGTTGTGCTTGCGGGAGCAGGAAGCCGGTGAGCACGTGTTGGGTAGTATGTATTTATAGATCGAATGGGAGGGCGAAAAGCGAATATAAAAGATGAGGAGCAGGGGACTTGGACCAGACAGCTGTGTTCCGCCTGTTCTCTGGGGATCTCTGTACCTTCTGAGTCAGGAAAGCCGAATGTTTCAAAGCCATCAGCGGCGATGGCTCGCTCCTCACTCGGTGTGTGGTCAGCGAGCGCTGGGGAGGAGGGGCGGTGGGCAGTCAGGAACCCTGGGTCCCGGTTCCCACTTTCGAACTGTAGAGTGGCTGGTGCTGTAATGAAATATACAGTCATAGTTCCACGTTCCTCTGCCAGAAAGCGAGAGTGGTGAAACATGAATGCAGTGACATGGGTGGTATTTCAGGCCTCAGGAGCCTGGGGAATCCTCAGAGGGCTCACCCTGTCTGCCCCCGGGGTGACCACGGGGCCACCTGCCCAAGCGCCTGTTCGGAAGCCGCTGAGACGGGCCAGGGAAGGGAACTCTGCTAGCTTGTCCCTCTGCAGCCTCCCAGTAATTACAGGGGCGTGTCTTCACCCAAAGAGGGAGGAGAGAGAACCCCCTTTCTATGCTGCTGCACGGAAAACTTAGGAAGTTTGCCAGGGGCTGGAAAAGCCAACTTGATAAGCTCGCCTAGAGGAGTGGCATGGCCTTGCCTACGAGGAGGATCGTTCCCCACCACCCTCCTTCCCGCTATGAGTGGCCCCGTGCACACAGCGAGCGCATGTTTCTGAGCTCGGCACATGGTCACCCACCGAGGGAGGAAGTGCAGCTCCCTTTGGTTAACCAGGAGGCAGGACCCTACATGTTAGTAGCTCTGGTTTTAGAAGCCCCGTGGGAAGTGGTGGTCAATGTCCCCTGACATTCCAGTATGAACAATTGTACATGTGAACACCTGGATACCCATGTGATGGGCAAGACCATGTACCGAGCATCCCAAACATGGCCTGGGCGCAGAGCCGCTCGGTGAGGCATGCTGATGACTCCCAGCTTCCCCACTACCCCCGCCCTGTGCTCCCTCCTGGTCCAGCCAGGACGCACCGGGACCCACCCCACTCCCCTTCTCAGATGCGAACATTTCAGGGAGACACCATCAGCCTCGGGTTCCCGAGTGGAGGAAACCCCCAAGATCGATGCCTGGAGCCCCCTCCCCTCACTGGAGCAGGCTCTGCGGGCCTGGGGCCCCCAGGGGGCTGGACTCCGAGGCCCTGCAGACGGCTTTGCTTCGTGAACATGACCCATGCACACCAGCCTCTGAGGGTCCCAGAGTAACCTACTACCTCCCCCATGGCTCCCGTCACCCCCGCGCCCCATCCGCACACTGAGGACACCATCCAGGAGCCAGGGGTGTGGCTGTCACCAATGTTTACAACCAAGGGCCACCTCCCCATACACCTGTTCACTCTCCCACTCACATGCCACTTGTTTTGAGATTATCTGTCTGCTCCTTTCCTGGTTTGGCCGACCTACACACACACACACACACACACACACCCTCAAGGCAGCGCAGAAGGAGGTGTGGGAAGGAGGTTTTGTGTACGTACCCAGCACAGCCCCTTCCAGGACGAACCTGTACTATTGTTCTGTAAAGAGGGTAAAATAGAGCTTCTTGTAAAGCAGTGGGAGAATATAGTATTGTATTTGTACCGATATCGTTCTTTGTATACACAGAACCCAATGATCTCTATATATAAATATAAATAAATATATAAATAAAGTATATATACACGTGAGCCTGGAATGTGGACGCCGCACACCCACCGAATGTACTTCCTCCGACAGTCTGGTCACGGGCCCGCCCGCCGTCCCCTCCTCCGTGGTGTGCTGGGGGTTGTGATGTATTTAATGTGTTCTCTTCCTTTATTTAACTGAACGCTAATGTCTGTAAGAGTTGCTGCAACAATAAACAGGAACTTCACCTCTTGGACCTGGCTGAGTGTCTTACTGCTTTGCGGTGGGGCGGGGCGGGACCCGGGTAACAGGCAGATTTTGTCTTTGCCCCACAGGCCACCTCCCACCCATCCTGGGGAGCCTGCTTGCCCCAGGCCCAGGCATTTTACTAAATGGTCGCATTCTGTGAAACCTACTTGGTTGTAAAGACGGTTTATCACCTGATACAGCTGCTATTCCAGTCTCCTCAGCTCCTCACATCACGGGAGGGGGACCTCCGGGTTCCCAATGAGGAGGGAAGCAGGTGTAGTTACCTCCCCCAAGAAATGGCCTTGGTTAAGGGGCTGTCTGCAGGGAACTGTACCTGGAGGTGCTGAGGAACTGGGGAAGGTGCTGATGCTCCTGCAGGCCGTGTGGGAACCTGCTGTCAGGACCCCGAGCTGCCGGGCCTGCTGGGGACACCGGACCCCAACACAGAGTCCAGCCCTGTTCCAAAAGCAAAACGTCCTTGGAGCTTTTTCTCCCTGGCTTCCCCGTGAAGCCCGTCAGCCCTGAGGGTCCCGCAGCTGGGCTGCTGCTGTGAAATGCTCCCCGGGCTAAGGCAGGGCTTCCTGCAGGATTCCCAGTTGTCATCAGCACATCTTAATGCTAAGTGCACAGGCCCTATGGAGCCGGCATTGAGATGAGTTGAAGCTGCCCTCAAGTACCTGCATCCACCCAGCCAAGAAGACCTGAGAAAGGGTCTGGCAACTCCAGAGTTTGTTAGGAAACCGAGAGAAGCAGAGTTTGGGGGGCAGTGGGCTTCTGCAGGGAAAGGACAGCGGCCAGATATGCGCAGCCACGTGGCACAGGCTAACACGGGCTGGTGGCCAGGAGATGCGGGCTTGGTAGGAGCTGTATCATCCAAGGCAGTAAGCAGTGGGCCCACTAACCTGCGCAGGAATGTTCCTTTCAGGTGATACACCCCCTCCTAGCCCCCGGGTGGGGAGCTCGCTTCATAAGATGGCAGCAGTCACATGAAGTACCAGGAATCATTTCTCCTCACTTGGTCCCTCCTGGCTTGCTCTTACAATGGCATGTGACCCCCTCTTCCACGATGGTCTCTGGGGTGGAGGAACAGAGACGTCCCTTTTGTGACATCAGTTGTCCATGCTAGAGACCAGGGGTGGGGAACGCCCCACCTGAGGGCTGTATAAGGCCTGTGAAATATAATCATTTGGTCTGGCCCTGCAAGGCATGAGGGTGAGTTACTTAAATGTTTGCCCAAACATAGGCTGATTTTTAAGTTGACAATTTGGTATGGCCCAAGAATGACGTTATAAATACCAAATGGCCTTCGACAGGAAAAGGTCCCCCACCCCTGAGAAGGCCGCAGCAGTAACATAAGCACATGAGAGGTGGGGGGAGGGGGGGGATAATTGCAAGGATGACAAAAGGAAGAAAGGCCGTTTCCAGCAGGATGCCCAAGAGCCAACCCAACCCGAGAGCAGGTCTACAGGACAAAGCAAGGTACTTAGCCACACACCCAGCAGGAGGGAGTGGGAGCATATAAATGAACCACAGGAACAGGTTACATTGGGTAGGTCACCTGAAGGCAACGCATGAACATCAAGAAGCTAGGAGCAGAGACATAGAAGCATCAAACAGACAGACCTCAGAGGCAAGGCAGGGGAGGGTGGGGGTGAAGGGATAAGTGATCAAACACAGGACTTGTACACATGCATATAAGCATAACCCATGGACGCAGACACTAGGAGGGTGAGGGCATGTGCTAGGAGGTGGGAGCGACTGGGGAGCGGTCAATGGGGGGAAAAGGAGACTTATGTAATACCTTAAAGTCCAGCAGTTCTCAACTTGTGGGTCCCGACCCCTTTGGGGGTCGAACGACCCTTTCAACAGGGGTCGCCTAAGACTGTCGGAAAACATATATAATTACATATTGTTTTTGTGATTAATCACTATGCTTTAATTATGTTCAATTTGTAACAATGAAATTGGGGGTCACCACAACATGAGGAACTGCATTAAAGGGTCGCGGCATTAGGAAGGTTGAGAACCACTGCTTTAAACAATAAAGAATAAAAAAAGAGCAGCAGCAGCTAGGGCCAAACAAAAAGGTGTTCAGTTGGAACTTGTAGGGAGGTCATCTTTTAACATAATGCTGGTGGCCTCATCTGTGGGCGCTGCTGCTGCTGCTGCAGGCTTCTGAAAGGGAGGGGCATACAGACATGACCCAAGGGGGCACCTGAGCCAACTGAAGGGTCCCTATGGGGGTACTGTGCCAGGTTAGGGTTGATACTGGTACCTCTAGGTATCGCTCTGGCCACCTGGAATGCACAGCATCTCTTTAGAGGGCCAGCTCCCAGGAGAACAGGAGACTGAGGAGGACTGAGGATGCCTCGTTCATGACAAAAAAATACCCTAGCCAGCCAGCTGGCACCTTCCGTATTAAAGCAATTATGCCATGTCCGGGCATCAGTGACAATGGAGTCCGATATCCTGGGGCTCATTGTCCTGCCAGAACCTCGGGTGTGATTGCACAATTACAAGAGGCGCCTCCCTCCCTACCTGTGTAGCCAGGGCTCCCCCAGGTGTGCCCCATTGTCATCGCACCACAGGCCTATGGAGTTAGCATTCAGCTGAGCGAGAGCTGCCTCCAGTCCCTTCACCTACCCAGCCAGGAGCCTTTTCCTCACAGTCGTGGCTGCTGTTTCCGAGAAGTCATTCTCCCTTTCAGTTCCTCCTGCGGCTTGAGGGTTACCTGGCAAACAGAACCTCCATCCAGCGTCACTGTCTGGTACCCACTGTTGGACGTCACGTCCCTGAAATGAGGTCCCTCCTGGTCGCAATGTTAATCACCCTTTTGCAGTTGCCTTTCGAGTTGCCCGTCTGCGAG